ACATATTTAAAACAATACTTCCTCACTTTTTACTTTTCCTACTTCATCTTTTTATATTTCTTTACAAAGTTGCCTTAGTGCTTTGAGAGTGAAAAACATATGTGAGATTCTTGTTGAGTTGGTGTGGTGTTTTTCTTGTAAATCACTTAATAGGGGTTTCTCTCTTGTGTAATATCTATGAAATACCTTTATGTTTGGTTCTTGAGCTTAACAGGTTAAAAGCTCTATTTGATTCTTGAGATTAGTCGGGTAAAATCTCTATTTGGTTTGTGAGCTCATCCTATTAAAAGCTCATGTTTGGTTATTGAGTGTAGTCATGAAAAAAATTGTTAGTTCATGAGGTCAGCCTAGTGTAAAAGCTATATTTTATTGTGAGATCAGCCTAGTTTGAAATCACTCATTTGGTTTGGTTGATTGTAAGAAATTTTATGGGCATAACCTATGAAAAAATCACATCTCATATAGTGAAAACTTTCAAGAAGAAATTCTTTGAGACAGGAGTAGGATAAGCGGTTAGGTCAAACCTATATAAACCGTTGGTGCATTTTTATCTTCTCTTACCTCTTTACATTTCATTCTTTATTTCTTTCCATTTTATTTTTACCTCTCCATCTTTATAGTTTTCTTTCTTTTACTTATTTTGTTGCATTATCTCAATTTGATTTATAAAATTAACTTAAACGTTTTTATAATCAATTTTTTCTATAGCTGAACATTGTTTTTGAACCAACATGATTCACCCTTCCTCCTCGTGTGTAATTGAAGCCACTTGTCAAATAAGTAGATCATCTACTATTGTTGTAGTAACATTTTCTATCTAGTGATTATATTTTATTGGAACATAAAATTTCTTCTTTGTTATCTTTTCCTTCCTCGACTTTGCAATATTTTTTGCACAACAATGTTCTAATTAGTGGCCAATAATATGACAAAAAGAGCATAATGAAGAGATTTTTTCGTACTCAACATCAAAATTAAAAGCATATCCTTCCCTTTCAACAAGAATAAAATTGAGCAAGAATTTTAACAAGATCAATATCCACCAAAGTTCTAGCATGATATCTAAAAAACTTACTACTAGTTGCTTCATCTAAGACTAGAGTAGGGGTGTTCAAAACCGAATCGGCCTAATAAAAAATCATTAACCAAATCGAAACAAACCAAAAATTGTAAAAAAAAAGTACATTTAGTTTGGATGTGTTTGAATCATTTTCTAATAGAACCACACAGTTTGGTTCGATTTGTGGCTTGCATTTTTAAAACTAAAGCAAACCAAACCGAGCAATATTATGTTACAAAATCTTACATGCCAATTTATATATATTTTTAATTATTTAGAGAAATCAATAAGTACTATGTGTATATTTCATCATATTCTTAAAGGTGAGAAGAACACAAGAAGGAAGTTGAATTTTGTTAGCTTTTTCTTTCTTTTCTGAAAATATCTTATTAGATTCTAAACATAAAGTTTAGAATCTAAATTATATTTAAGTGATTAGTAATGGATTAGAACAGTTCAGAGGTATAAAGGAAAGGAATAGAGACATAAGAAGTTATCCTAATTCCTTCTGCAAATCGAGAGTAGTCTAGTCCCCTTGTACTTTTAAGAGATTTCACTATAATTAAAACTGATTACAATTGCTCAAGCACACAAACAAGAGACTTTCAAATGCTCAAACCCACAAGTAAGAGACTTCAAATGCTCAAGAATACAAGCAAGATATTTTAGTTACTCAAGCACACAAGCAAGAGACTTTTACAATCTAACTTATAGTTAAGAGATTGTGAAAACTATATTTAATATACAATCAGAGGTGTAGACAAAATACAACACATAAATACTCTAATACTTAAGAATTTCTAAGATATACATGTGTTAAGAAAATATAAGTTAAACTTGTTTTTTGGTTTGACATAGTAACAACTATTTTATTGTCACTAGCTCATTGTTGATTCTTCAAGTCTTCAACTCCTTATACAGAGAAATATAAAAACGTCGTTGAATAACACAAGTTAGTCTTGGAGAAGTTTGATCAGAGTCATTGGAATATTACTTGATATGGTTAATCCCTTTGAAAATATATTTAAAATTTCTTTGCTTCAAGGGGAATTATCCATTGTATTCCAATTGTTTGTGAAGATGTTTGCTTAAATTTTCACGTGATCAAAAGAAGACAAATGCTATATGAGTATGAAAGTGACCCATCAGAGTCTCTTGGATTCTTGGTTGATTGGCCTCAGAGTCTGATAGTGACCTATCAGAGTCTTCTTGATCCTTGTGTTTTATTAACTTCAGAGTCCGAGTCTTCAGAGTCTTTAGGTTATGATCCTTAAGAGTTTAAGTCTTCAAAGGTTGTCTTTCTTCAAATTCCGATCTTCAGAAGTTGTTCTCCTTTAATGTCTAGTTCTGATCCTTCAGATTTTGGATCTTTTAGCTTATTTTTAAATTTTCATCTTTAGTATCAGAGCTGAGTTTATATCATAATTTTTAGTCTATGATCCTGCACACTTGAACATATGTTAGTATACTCAATTGTTCTTTAAATACTTTTTTTATCATTAAAACCTTAGAGATATGGTGCAACCCAATTTTATTTCAACAATCACTTATATGATATTTATTTTAATTTACATATCAACAAAAAACAAAATATTATTTATTTATAAATAACATTATTTTTATTTGAAATAAAGTTGTTATATATTTAATTTTGTTTTCATTTTTAATTTGTTTACGTTGATAAGGAAAAGATTAAAAAAAAGTTGTATTTACGTTACCTTTGTAAACCTTTATAAAATATTGATAATAAAAAATAAATTATAGTGTTATTAAGCTAGCACAGTCATATGCATGCACTTGCTTATAATTACACAATATAATATTTTAAATTTATTTAAGAATACAATTTTATGTATATTGTCTTTTAGACATATGATAAAATTGTAAGACAATTCATCAAATTGTAAACTTATTTTTACAATTACAAGCTTATTTTATGGTAATGTATAAATGACTAAACACAAAATCAACGGAACCAACCCAAATCGCATTGTTTTGGTTTGGTTTTATTTCTAAAAGTTAGTCGAACCAAATCGAACCATATTTTTTTCTCTTGTGGTTTAAATGACTTTTAGCGTTAAAATCGCTCAAACTGCACAGTGAACACCCCTAGGCTATAGAGACACCCATACCTCTTGCAATTGAAAAACAAATTTGTAGTCTCCAATATTGAATAAGAAGACCATGTATTATAATCGAACATTATACGTTAGTTTTTTTAACCAAATCTATATTGAAGTCTAGTGTTTAGTTGAATACACAAAGAATACGCGGAAACAGAATCCATGAGTCCACGATCTTACTGCCAAAACTCTTCTAAGGTCCTCAATAGATGAAATCGAAAGAAAAAAATCTTACTAATAAATGTGAGAGACAATCTGTCATGAACATTCTCAAAAACATTTAACTTTTCATGTCATACATCAATTGTTGGAGAAGATTCTCCTTTCTTTAGCATTATCATTCCTTAAAAAAAATCGAAGCTATCATATTCAACTTTTAAAATTTTTATGGCAACTGCATCCCCATAAAATAAGGGGTTGACAATTGACTTAGAGGTATGACGCAAATGTTCTTCAAAACTTGTTTAATGTCTTCAAAACTGAATTATAAGTCTTCGAAAGTAGAATTAGAAATATTTTGTTCACGTTGCTCCCAAAAGTACGATGATTTGTAAATAATTTGAGAATGAGAAATCTGGTGCAGTCCAAATGCAATATCTCTCTGCTCAATCTTATATTTACAATCCGAATTGTGAATGTGTAATACTATGTCTCAGATCAAAAGTTAACTTAATCTAACAATCTAAAATTTTTACTTTTTTGAAAAAACAGAAATAGGGTTGAAATCCTGTTGTGTAAATTAATATGTTTTTCATGTCAACCAATTAAGATTAATACGTGATATCTAGTAAAATAAACGTTTCAAACATTTTTAATTTTGTAAACAATATTAAAACTCATTTTAATTCAATTAAAAAAAGTCATTTTAACTAACAAATTACGTGTAGGCTACTAGATTAAAGAATTCATTTCACATTTTGTGAAAAAGATAATTTACTTTTTTGCAAAGTTAGAAAATAAAGGAAGCATGAGCCAAATTTAGAAAACTCATAATTAGTTGAATCTATGAAATAAAACAACATTTTAGTCTTAAAAAAAACAGAAATAACCAATATTTTTACTAAAGAACGTAATATATTCTTAAAATAAACTATCACATCGTCCAAACGTTTCATGTGCAACAAATTGTCAGTGCCTTCCTAAAATTCTCTAACAGTGATTGATCCTACCATACCTTTCATCACTTTACCAATTTTAAACTACTACCGAATTATAATTATGATATACCAAATACAATCACCAAATTCAGTAATTTAACTAAAAACAAGAAGAAAAATAAAAGCAAATTAATAATGATAATTTGATTTTGTCTTAAGGTCAAATTTTGGAAAGCCTTAATGACCTTGTGATTTATGTCACATTTTCTACATGACTATGTCCTTTGAAAACCGCAAAAGCCAGAGTCACATCCCTCACACCCAACATATATGATTATTGAGTAATCTAAAGAGCAATAATAGTTCTAAATATGAAAGACAAAACTTCAAAAATAAGTAACAGTTATATGAAACTCCCATGGTAACTCTAGATTAGAAAAGCAAAAGAGTTGTATTTACAAGCTCATTCCTCATATGAGCATAGAACCTAAAAACTAAAATTTAGAAGAAAAAACATTCCAAAGGAAAAATAATAAGCAATCCTAACCCTAATCCTAATTCTTATAATCCTATACATAACATAGTTCTAAAACTTCGACAAAGGATTTTGAGATCTAGATCTTCCAACATCGACAAACAAATATTGTAACCGCAATTTAAAACCATAATCCTAGGTACATATACTTTGCTGCTAAAACTACATCACGAAACTAAATTGAACTAATCTTGCCTCTTGGTAGACATGCGTTTCAAAAACTCATAAGTAGTAATCATAGTCGTAGCGGACATAGACATCGAGACCCACCTCGGTCCCAATCCTTTGTAACAAGCAAACAAACCACCTTCATTTACCAAATTTCTAACCGTCTGCACAAAAGTTAAAGGCCGCCTTCTCCCATTCTCCTCCGTATCCAAAACCTGCAACCTCGTCTTAATAGTATCAAACGGCATTGTCACAATAGCCGAAACACCACTCGCCACAACAGCACTCAAACCTTGTACACCAACCATTGCCTTAGAATCAGGCCTAAAACCAACACACCCATCACCACCACCCAAATTACTACCACTCTTACACAAACATGAACCAAAATTACCCCAAATGAACCTATGAACCATAGAATAAGAAGTCCACCAAACAGCATTCGATGGCGCATATGTCAATATCGAAATCCCAAATCCTCTATAGAATCCTCTTGGCCCATCATTATAAAGAATTTTTCTAAACACATCTAAACCATTTCTATAATTCTCCGAATTAAGATTCGCCAAAATACTCTTTCCCCCACCGCCACCACCCGTACAACCTTGAACCATAAGTCTTTGACTAACAACGTCAATCGGAGTCCACACCAATTGCGCAGACATAGCCGAAGTAACACCAGCTGCAGCACTAGCAACAGCAGTAGCAGTATTATCAGAAAAACCCAAATCAACAAAAGCAGTACCAACGTTACTCTTCGTAACCTCAAGTGCTGTCATGTAAAGCGCTCTAGCAGGAATAGTCCCCATCAAAGAAGTACCAAAGCCTTTATAAAAACCTCTAAAACCTTCATAGCGCATAATAGCACAAGACATGTTGATACAAGAGTAGTGTGAAGAAGAAACCTGTTGCCGAGTTTTCAAAACCACCATTGGATAAAGAGCGGCGGAGACACCGGAGAATAAGGCGGCGCCAAGGAAGAAAAACTTCGATTTGTCTAGCATGTGCCAGTCAATTTCCGCAGGTAAATGGATTTCGGAAGACGAATCGTCTTCTACTGTTGTTAAACTCATTTTCGCCAGTTTGGTGTGAAAGATGAAAAGAGGAAGAAAATGAAATCGCGAAACGGAAACCCTTTTTGCTAAACGACAGCGTTTAATGAATCGCAATCAAGGTGATAAGTTGAAGGGTCCACTATGGGTAAGGTAGTAGTAAGGTGGGTATGTTTTGTCTTTTCCTTTGTTCTAATAAATGGAGAAAAAAAATGTTTGTTTGAAAGGAACTTCAGGTAGAGAAAGAGGTGAGAAATAAAAGGAAATTGAAGAATAACTTTTTTTTATTTGTTCTTCTTTTTGATGGTGTTGTGTGAAGAAAATGGATAGAGATGAACGAAGGTTCAGAGAGAAAAAGAATGAGAGAGTACAAAAAGTATAGGCTGTGTGAGATAGAAGAGAAATGGATGGGATGGGACAAAAGGTTAGTGTAGATTTTAGGGAGGTTTTTAAGGATCGAGGAAATGGGCACGTGTCAGTTACTATCTCGGTGGCTTCTTTTCGGTTTTGTCTTCATATAGGATTAAATTATGAAATATATTTTTTTAGGATAGTTGTAATTAGATTTAGATATTTAAGTTAAATTAATTTATGTTTATAAAGTTTTGGGTTAACAAAAGAAGTTCAAGAATTCACGAAAGACGTGAATCAGTCATGTGATTAGAATTATGAGATTCTTTCCTTCATGTGATCCATCATTTTCTTTACCTGTGGGTGATATGTGAAGGAGACGCACTAAGCAAGGGCACCAATATTCCTGTCTCTTTTTAAATTTTTACAACATTAAAAAAATTCAAAAATATTTTTATTGGATTAAGAAATAAAAAACATTTATATTATAATGCATACAAATTTTATAATCATGTATTTAATAAAATTGATAATTAGTATATATAAATAATAATAAAAAAAATGAATATATATTTCACGATACGGGACAGGTGGATATTATGATACTCGTATCTGTATGTCATACCTGTTTATCTTAGTTGGTAATCGCTCGTACTCATGTCCGATCTATTTTGTAGATTTTTACTCTAGTCATTGTGAGTAAATTTTAAAAATGAGTCCAATTATATGTCGCCCCTAAATATGAATACGAAAATCCTAATCTTTTTCACAGATTGTGTCCAAAAAAATTTTATTTTAAAAAATATCATTTATTAATAAAACTTTAAATATTTATTCTCATATAAAGGATGAGAATCTTATATTTCTATTAGAATAAAAAAAATCAACTATAACTACCTACTTCTATAATATCTTAACATATTTTTAAAAATTTTAAAATTTTAAAGTTATAAACAAAATAATATTAAAAAAATATTCCTAGGAATTTTAATAACTTACCATGGAATAAAATTTCTGGCATTAACATTCCTAGGAATGAGATTTATGATATTGTAATTTTTAAAAATTATTCTTTACTTAAGAATTTTAAAAACTAAAAAATTAAAATAAACTTAAGTTTTTAGTTTCCAAAATTAAAAAGAGAAAAATAAGTAAAGTGGTACACTTTTCATTAGTAATATTTTTATAATATTCTACAATTTTTAAAATAGTTTTTAAAAGTATGATTACTAAACATGTTTTATTTTATTTTTGTTTTTAACAACTAATTTCTCAAATAAATTTACAAAATAATTTTTAAAAACTAAAAATCAAAACTCATTCAAATAGGTGTTAGAACACAGATTGGTGTTTAATATATCTCATAGTTTTGATGATAACATTAATGAAATTTTGTATAAAGAATTTATATACTCTAATTTTGTTCAAGTGTTTATTTGTTTCAGATATCAAAATTAATATTATTCTGGAAGCAAGAACACCTCTGAACATTAAAGAACGAGAAAGCTCTGAGCGTCAGAAGCAATCCATCAGAAGACTCAGGTCTGCTACAATGACTCTGAGCGAAACTAAGAAGAACTTGAGTGAAAAACATACGTAAAGCTTCAGAAGACTCTGGAAGTACTCAACGCTGCAAGTACAGAAGTTTTGATAAGCAAGTATGCTCTGATAAGAATCTCACGCTTAAAGCACTTGGCTGCAAACTCTGATAGAGAAACTCTGATTGAGTTAACTCTGACCTGAACAACTAGGAACATCATCAGAAGTTCTGATGCAAGACATTCCAAAGTTGTTGAAGAAGATGTTGTTCAAATAAAGATCCGTTGGCATATTCTTTGGCATTATCCTAAACGACTCTTTCCTTATTTGTGCTTGACACGGGATTTCAGACAAAAAAGATTTGTCTGAACATTCCTCTTCTGAGAAAGGAAAAGTCAATAGAAGACAAAAAGAACAGAATGCACAGATTGCACAGTCTTTGAGAAAAGGATTTCAAAGTACTATAAAAGCAAGTCCAAGCATCACTTCAAAGGTTAACGAACTTGAAACAAATTCTTGACAAGTTATTCAACAAGCTCTCATACAAAGTCTCTTCAAAAGCTGAATAGTTTTATTTCGTTCTAAAAACTTGTGTAAAAATCACTGTTGTGATATAGCTTTTTAGAAGCACATCTTAAACACAAATTGTTAGTTTATCTTTGTAAAAGATTTCCTTAAGAAGACCAAGTTGTGGTCAGAATTTCTTGAGAAGACTAAGACAGTTGTCTTAGTAGTTTACACTGTAATCAAGTTTGATATAGTGGATTAAGTCCTTGTTGAGAAAGGCAAATCACCTTGGTAGGGTGGACTGGATTAGTTTGAGTTCAAACGAACCAAGATAAAAATACTGTGTTATTTTTCTATCATCCAAATTATTTTAAAACCCTTATTCAACCCCCCCCCCCCTTCTAAGTGTTTTTCCTACCTTCAGTTGACATCAGAGCTCCGGTTCTGTAAGTGCTCTCACTTAACCATGACAGAAAAAGATCCTATTGGGAAAAACTCTTAATCCTTTGTTCTTGATTCATCATGGCTGCTGAAGCTTCAACTTCAACTTCATATAACAACAAATACGATGATAGAGACAGAGTCAACACCAAACCCCCCATGTTTGATGGTGAGAAGTTTGATTACTAGAAAGATAGAATAGAAAGTTTCTTTCTAGGCTATGACGCTGACTTATGGGATTTGGTAACTGATGGCTATATTCATCCTACTAATGATGAAGGGAAAAAGGTTGACAGAAAGTCTATGTCTGATCAACAGAAGAAGGAGTTTAGAAACTATCACAAGGCAAGAACCATTCTATTAAATGTTATATCTCATATTGAGTATGAGAAAATAACAAATAGAGATACTGCATTTGATATGTTTGAGTCTCTAAAAATGACGCATGAAGGAAACTCCCAAGTAAAGGAGACAAAGGCTCTGGCCCTCATCCAGAAGTACGAAGCCTTCAAAATGGAGGAGTCTGAATCTGTGGAAACTATATTCTCAAGATTTCAGATCCTAACTGTTGGGTTGAAGGTTCTGGATAAAGGTTACTCCACTTCTGACCATGTCAAGAAGATCATCAGAAGCTTGCCAACAAGGTGGACACCAATGGTGACAGCTCTGAAGCTTACAAAGGATCTGAATAAGATCACTCTGGAAGAATTGATCAGTTCCTTAAGGAGTCACGAGATTGAGCTGAAGGAAGACGAGCCTCAAAAGAAAGGTAAGTCTGTTGCTTTAAAATCTAACAAATCTGCTAAAGCTTTGCACGTTATTGAAGAAAGCTCTGAAGAATCTTCAGAAGAAGAAGATGAACTGTCTTTGCTGTCCAAGAGGATAAACCAACTCTTGAAGCATAAGCAAAAGAAGTTCAGAAACTTCAAGAGATCTGATCAGCGTGGCGATTCTTTTGGACATAAGAAATTTGGAAAGAAAGATATAGTGTGCTACGAGAGCAAGGAGCCAGACCACTATAAAAATGAATGTCCCAAACTTCTGAAGGAGAAACCCAGAAGGAAGTTTGAAAAGAAGAAGAAAGTTTTAATGGCCACGTGGGATGATTCAGATGCTTCTGAATCTTCATCAGAATCAGAAGATGAATGTGCTAATGTAGCACTGATGGCTGACGTGTGTTGCACCCCAAAATTTTCTCAACCTTTTTCTTAACTTGGTTTATGTTTCATTTTATTTCATTTTGGTTCTAGCATTTGTATTGCATAACATATTTCATTTTACAGGGGATCAAGAGGTTGTGCATAGCAAGAGAGGTCTTCTCAGAGCATTGAGCCTAAGCAAGGGGTGTTACTCAAGCTTGAATGGTCATCAGGACATCTTGAAGTGGTCAATGTCTTGTGAAAGGATGGATGGATATGTGTAGGTCAACTCCTAACTTGGAGGCCAACTAAAAAGCATCAGGAGATTGTGAGTGCATGATTATGGGTATGAGATGTTGGGAGAGCTCATTGAGTGCTTTGAGAGCCATTTGGAGTTTATTTAAGTTGTTGTGTGAAGTGGAACAAGCCCTAGTCAAAAGTGTGGCATTTAGGGTTTTCATCTGGTAAATCCTCAGTCAACTGTGAAATTGAAGGAGATTGAAACTTAATTCAAAGTCTCTATGGTCATGGGATGTTGTATTGAGAGGTCTAATACATCATTTCAAGATTAATTCATCAAGGATCAAGAGTGTGAGAAGTTACTAAACTAGGGTTCTCAGGGTAAAATCCCTTATTTAGTGCCTGACTTCAAGACCACCTACCTCAAGATACAAGTCCCATCTCCACTTTTGGCCAACATGGAACTTGTAGAGCATGTTCTTAGCTTTCTTTTGAGTACTAGAAGTCCTTGATTGGATTTATATAACTCAAGTTATGATCCATACAAATTACAGGTCATCAAATGAATGTGATTTTGGTCAACAAAAGTCAACCAACTCCCAAGCCATTTTTAACCTAGAAGGATGTTTCTCCTCAACTTTTGGCCAACATGAAAGTTGTAGACCTTGGTCTTAGATTTCCAAAATGTACTAGAAGTATTTCATCTGATTTGTAGAACTCAAGTTATGAGGGTTACAAGTCAAGGGTATTTTGGGAAAATAAGATTATAGGTCATAAAATTATAGGTCCATTTCACCAACTTGC